GTCAGGGTGCCGTACATGAGTACAGCACTGACTGTCGTTGTACATATGGAAGCAAAAACTCGCATGGACTATCCCTTCATAATCCTCACAGCACACGGCATGCGAACCACATGCTAGTTGAATCTCTGGTGGGTCATCACAAAGCAGCATGGACCATCTTTCTTGGGCTTCCTCAGTATTTATTCCTTGTCTATGTGCATACGACGACAGGGAGGATCGGTCCAAAGCAACGGCGTTCAGCTGCTGCTGGATTTGGTCTGCAACAACTTGCCCTGGTGGTGATGAACTATGAGCACATCGCTCTGTCGGTGGTTCATATAGAAGTTTATTTTCCTCCTCGGACTGCAACAGTTGTGTCTGTCGTTCGTCTGGCAGGAAAGAGGGAGATCCATCAGCAGTTGTTGTAGGTGTATGACCAACACCGCATGTGGGACATGCTAGGAGAGGATGTGGAGGGTGATGGCACCGGGGATAGTCCACGCAGTAAAGTCACATACTTTCTATGACAGCTTCCTGGAAGCATTGATGACACATGGCATGTTGCTGACATGTCATTAGTATGGAAGGCTGACAAGCACAGTTACTTAAGCATGGCAGATCAAGGCCACAACGGCATGCTGGGCAAGTAATCAAGGGGTGGGGGGGATGAGCACAGGACAGGGGATCACAGTTTTCGTGTGAGAGGCTAGCAGCGCGTGTGTTTGTTGTCATGTTCACTATACACAACTCCACAAAAAAGCATGACTGTGCATGACGGTTACGTCGGACTTTCACCGACTCGTCAGGGAGTCAAAGTGTGTCTGTGTGTCTGTCCTCCTTGCAGTGGTTCTCGCCGTCATCACGCAAGCATGTCTGTGTGTGTGTGTGTGTGCCTACACCATCGCGGGTGTATGTGTGTGCACAAAGAAAGCAGGTGCTGCCCAACGGCCGTGCTGCATGGCCGCCTCAGTCCGCAAAGCCTCGCACCCATATGATACCACCCCCCCCCCAGTACAGCAGTTCCTGGTCTCGCATGGGCCGTTCGTGCGACACCCAGGTTATCCTTGAGAGAGACAGAGATAGAGCATCAACCGAAGGATAAGGAATAAAACATGAAGGATCTCTGTAGGAACAGCTGAACAACTTAGAATCCAGGGTGATTGGAAGGGTTGAGGGGAATGCCTCTAAGTCTCAAGGAGTTCACCTCTCCTTTGCAGATTGGGCAACACACTGATCGCTCCTTTTCAATGAGGCCAGCCTCAGACTTTGCTGAGCTCTTCGCTCCTGCGGATGACCGTCCTGGTCTGGTTAGAGCCAATACGTTCTTGATTGACATCGAGCTTTGCTCCACTACTCACCACATGCAAAAAAGACAAAAAAATATGGTGGTGTATCTTTTCATGCTCTAATGGAAGATTCACTCTCGGACAGGGCCCGTCCCGGACATTCAGCCTGAAAGCCTAAAACTTAGGGCTTACAGGCCCCGTTCGTTTCAGCCTGAAAGCTGAAAAACGAGGGCCTGCAGGCCCTACCCCGTTTCAGCCTATTTCTGGGTCTTTTCAGACCCAGAGTTTTCAGCCTGAAACGGAGGGCCATTTTCAGGCCCTCGTTGTTTCGACCTGCCCCTAAGACTCAGGCACGTAAACAGGGATGCGGAACAGGCC